CGCGCTGCTGGAGCCGCTCTTCGACTGCAGTCCGGAAGCCGCCTGGCTCCCGGCGGGGCTCTTCCCGTGAGCCGCGCACGGGCACGGCTTCGTTCTCTGCTCAGCCCCGCTTCTTCCCTTCTGGCCCCCAGCGCTGCCATGGCCGCCCCGGCAAACGCGCAGACCGCCAGCAAGACCTGGGAGCTCAGCCTGTACGAACTTCACCGGACGCCCCAGGTGAGGGACGGGAGGGGGAAGCGCCCGCAAGCGCCAGCCGGGGCCGGGCCGGAGGGCAGCCAGCGGAGCAGAAGGACAGGGAGGGTCAAGCCCCCCACCCCAGTCAGGGGAGACCCTCCTTGAGGCGGCATTTTCCTCTGGCTGGGTCTCAGGAGCCCTCTGCGGGGTGAGGGAGGGGTTCCCCTGGGGAGCACCCTCACCTGCGTGAGGCCGGCTGGGATCAGTCAGTCAGAAGCACTTTTAGGCTGTTCGCCTCAGGTACATCAAAGCGGGTTACAAAAGCCGTGGGCCCTGGCTTCCCACAAAAAGGCCCCCAAGTCAGCCCATTCACCCCAGTGAAAACTGGAGACCCGTCAGGACCAAGAGAGACCGCCAGGATGCGCTACCCTTCTCCAAGGTTGGCCCGGCCCGCCAGGTTCCCCCGGAGGTGACCAGCTGGGGGAACCACCCCCAGGCACTTGTGGCCTGGTGTCTCCATTGGTGCGGCCCAGGAGGGCAGACCCAGAGTCTCAAGCCACAGAGGGCTTTATGGGCGGTGACCAGGCCCTGGAATTGCACCTGGAAGCAACCTGGCAGCCATGGCAGAACTGACACCACAGGGCGTCCTGCCAGTCTGCAGCAGCAAGCTGCATTTTGTCCCCGCCGATGTTTCCAGGGTGGTGGCCACTGGCCGCCCCACAGAGAGCAAGCTGCAGCAGTGCAGCCCGGAGGGACTACCAGCAGCTGAATTCCCCCTTTCCCGTTGGGCCGGGCTCCCTCCTCTCCATATGGAGCGCCCCGGGCAGCGAAGGGCCGACGCCCCTCCCTTCTCGCTGCAGGAGGCCATCATGGACGGGACGGAGATCGCCGTCTCCCCGCGCAGCCTGCACAGTGAGCTGATGTGCCCCATCTGCCTGGACATGCTGAAGCACACCATGACCACCAAGGAGTGCCTGCACCGCTTCTGCTCAGACTGCATTGTCACCGCCCTGCGCAGCGGGTAGGGGGGGTGGGCGGAGGGGGGCCGCCCTCTCTGGGGCCGGGGCCGCCCCAGCACCTCCTTCTCCCTCTGTCCCCACCGCTGCAGGAACAAGGAGTGCCCCACCTGCCGCAAGAAGCTGGTCTCCAAACGCTCCCTGCGCCCCGACCCGAACTTCGACGCCCTCATCTCCAAGATCTACCCCAGCCGGGACGAGTACGAAGCCCACCAGGACCGGGTGCTGGCCAAGCTCAACCGCCTCCACAACCAGCAGGCCCTCCGCAGCAGCATGGAGGAGGGGCTGAAGATGCAGGCCATGAACCGGTAGGTGCCGGGGGGCCTGCAGGGGGTGCGCCTGCCCCTCGGCAACACCCTGAGCCTCTTCTGGCCCCGGGCGAGCACTTCCTGCAACCGTCCGGAATCCTTTCCCCACCCGAAGAAAGAAAAACGGTGTCTGCCTGACCCCCCCCCCGCCCTTGCAGCACATTGTGGGGGGGCTTTCCTGGATTCCCCATCCGATTTTCACTGCTGTGCCCGGAAATCGCTTCTGTTGGTCCCATAGATTCTTTTGGGGGAGGGTGTCATGCCCCCTTGCTTAGGAGGAGCCGCTTCCGAGAAGTCACCGGGAAGCGTGTTTATGAAGCGTGTTTAGCTTACCTGGGGTGCAAGAGCAGCCCCCCAGCCCCCTGCATTTTCACTCCAAGGTCCTCTTGGTCTGGGGGATCCCTTGGATGGGGCAGGGTTTGAAACGGGAGACTGCACCTTCCTAACAGTGCCCCCCCTCGCTCGGGGGCCTCTGTCCACCGCCAGGGGGCAGCGGGTTCGGAAGCACCCCCCGGAGTCGGACAACACCACCTTCAGCGGGGCGGAGGACAACTGCGACAGCCGCTCCCACCTCAGCAACGCCTCAGCCCCCAGCCAGCCAGAGGCCGGGCCCAGCTGTAAGCGCTCACGAGCCTCGGACGAGTCGTGCGCCGAGCCAGAGACCTCGCACGAGGGTGGGCGGGGCAGCCCCGAGCCCGGGGCCGAGTCCAGCAGCAGCGAGATCGAACTGGTCTTCCGGCCCCACCCCGTCTTGGTGGAGAAGGGGGGCTACTCACAGACCAGGTGAGCAGGGCGAGGACCCTCAGGCTGGGCCCCAGCAAAGGGCCAGTTTGGGGGGTCTGGTGGGAGGGCAGGAGCAGGAGGTCCTCGGGGCTCTCCATAAGGTGCTGCTCTGGACACGGCATGTATGAACTCAGCCTGGGTGTGGCTGCTCTGCCCCCCGGCTCTGGCAGGGCCGGGCCCCCTCCTTTCCTCTTGCCTTCACTTCTCCCCCCTGCCCCCCTGGTTGGCAGGTATGTGAAGACCACGGCCAACGCAACGGTGGATCACCTTTCCAAATACCTGGCTCTGCGCATTGCCCTGGAAGGGGCCCCGGCCCCGGGCCCCGAGGCCCCCGCCCTGGATGATGTGAGCGAGAAGCAGTACACCATCTACATCACCACAGCTGGCGGGGCCTTCACGGTAAGGAGGAGTGGAGAGGGAGACTCAGAGGCTGATGGAAGAGGCAGCCAGAGAGACACGGTCCCTTTGTGATCGTGATCGTCGTGCTTAAGATTCCCCTCGGGCAGATCCTCGGGTCCCGCCTGTTGGGGCAGAGCCTGTCTGTTGGGCCTATGCAGCCTGGCTCACTTGCCCGGGTTACCTGTTCTCCCCATAATGAGGTCAGCTCCCTCTTCTAGAGAAGGTTTCCCTGGGTGGCCACCCAGGGAGGCTCAGGGTCCGTGGGAGAGGCTTTGGGCAAAGGGGCAGAACAGCTACAAACTGAGTCCCCCCCACTCCACCCCGTGTCCTCCCTTGGCTCAGACGCTGAACGGGTCGGCGACCCTGGAGCTGGTGAACGAGAAATACTGGAAGCTGAGCAAACCACTGGAGCTGTACTACGCCCCCACCAAGGAACAGAAATAACGGGGAGGGGGACCGCCTGACGGACAGCAGCTAGGCGGGCAGGGGACGGCATCATTTTTGCCCTCAAGGTGCCTCTCCAAAGAAGATGCTTCGCTGGGGGGGGGGGGGGGTGCCGCTTTATCCCCAACTGTGACCTACCCCAAATCTTCCAAGGCTGGCAGGGAAGGGCAGAGACACCCTTCTGTATTGGCTTCTTCTCCCATGAAGGACTGGGGGGCTCCTGCTCTCCCCGCTTCTCTGTCTCCTGTGCGGGGGTTGATGGGGTTAAGGTTCAATTCCTGCCTTTTTACAGCTGTTTTTTGTGGAACTGAATTGATCACAGAATATTTGCCCCTTTGAACATCTGTCTTTGGAGTTCCTCTTTTTTGGGGGGGGATTTTGCTGGGGGCAGCGAAAGGGAACAGACTCCCGGGGGCCTGAAGTGGGCCAGGCCGTCTTACGGGACCCTCGGCTGCCCGGTGCCAGAGGAGGCGTACCCACGAGAATCCCAACCGAAGTCTGCCTGGCATCTCCCGAATGTGCCGAACTCCAGTCCCGTCACCATACATGGCAGCTTGGCTCCAGATGATGGGAGCGGCCCTTTCCCAGCCTGCTCGGGGGGGGGGGGGTTTCCACATTTTCTGCCCCCAAAGGGCCCTCTCTGTGCCCCCACCTGTGCCCCACCCTCCTCAACCCAGAAGTGCTTGCCCAAGGCTTCCTCCTTGCTTGTGAGGAACCCTGACAGAGGGAGGGGTCCTGTGAGGGGCTGAATCTCTCGCTATCTTACTTGGGGGTTCCTCCCATGTACCCCACGTTGGCCCTGCAGTTGCACCTCTAGTCCAGAAGCAACTTTTCACTCCCATTTTAACCATTCTTCCCAAGAGTTCATGGCGCTTCCAAGCCCCATTTCTTCTCTCTGAAGCAACCCACTCCCAGCCCCCCTCTGGGGGCCCTTGCAGCGCAGGCCTTGCCCCTGCAGGGAGCCCTTCTGCCCCGCTTGCCAGGCACTTCTGGTTCCGAAGACAATTCATGTAGCTGGACCTCAAGAGCTTTGCTGCTGCTGCTGCTGGGAGTTTTCTTGCTCCCTCCCCCCTTTTTCAGGCGCATTTTTCGCAACTGAGAGAAGGGGAAGGAACCCAATCAAAGCTTCCTCCCTTTGTGGGGCCAAAAGGCTGATGGGGGGGGGGGCTTTCCATGGGCTGTAGGGATTCCTGCTTCCACCCCCCAACAGGAGACCGTACCTTTCAAGGGCTGCAGCCTGGGGCCCAGCTGGGGAGCCCCAGGCCTTGGGGCGCTTGGCTAACGGACAAGGCGGCCACAAGCGCCAGGACTTGCCCTCCCAGGGGCAGCACAAGCCCCGTTGGGTGCGAAGGGCCCTCTTGGAGCTGAGGGGGTAAAGGTGAGCCACAGGAGTGACTTGAGATGGCTCTGAATGTTTGGGGGGCCTGGCACATTTGGCTTCCGGCTCACCCAAGCCCCGCCTGGGCTGTCTGGCCACCGCGGGGCTTGCCGGGGCCACTGTGCTCTAAGCCATCTCCGGGAAGGCTGGTCAGGGAGAGCGGGGAACAGGCGCTGCCTGTGACGCCTCCCCCGGCGCCGGCCAGGGCCCCTCAGGTAAAAACAAACAGCCTCCCCCTTTTCACCTGCACCCCGTC